TTAAAAATATTAATTTTGTTCTTCGAGCATCGCAGCAAGATATAAAATGTTATTTCAGAAATTCAATTGACTGCAATAAGCTCTAAAGTGCTCTGAAAGTGCAGTAAGGTTGGTTTGAATTTGAACTTGCATAGCAGTTTACAATATCTTTTGGTGCAATAAATCATTTACGTTGATTAATAAACGGTAAATTTGATATAACAGCATAAATTTTCAGCTGAGCTTAAAGTGGTTCGAATGACAAGTAAATGATTATAATTTTATACCGGAAAATATTTATGTGTATTTGTTTATCTTTTGAGGAAAGAAGAATTTATTAATGCAATTTATATCTTTCGGGAGGAAAATTTGCTCAATAAATATCCGGTAGTTCTTGGCATTTGACCATGTTTGGTTCGCATGTGTCCACGTCCAACGGTTCGATGGCATTGTTTAAATTTAACGGTGAATTCTAAGCACGTACGGAAGCCTTATTTTTTCATCCGCCTTCGATTTAGCAATCTATTCCGTTTTTATCGCACAATTTGAGTGTCCAATATCGTGCGCTCTTTCTTCCGGGCTGCGCAGAAACGCAGAAAGCCGCGTGAAGAGGACGAGCGACCGGCACCCCCCGATGTATTCATCCTCCCTTTTATCGTGGTTTTTATTGGCACCGTTTCTTATCGGCGGCGCACTCCTTGATTACATCGCCTCTTGTACCGGGTATAGATCGAGAATATAGATTGCACCGTGTTCGTATTCTATTTTACACTCGAATCGAAGTGCGAAGAAGACGCCGAATTGTGCCACACTGCACCTCCGTCGCGCGCAATTTTTTTGCCTTCTTTCAACCCTCACCGCACCGCTCCCGAAGGCTCTGCCTCTTTGGCACGCTTTTACATATTAAAGCACGTTTTGTTGGTGCCGCGCGTCTTCGCTCTTCGAAAAGTCTGCGGAATTTTTGTGCAGTGCTCAATGCGTTACCAACTGGGGGTGGCTTCTTTTCATGCGTTTCGTTTTGTGATTATCATACGAAGGACACTCGCGTCGGAATCATTACAAACAAGCGCGCAAACGCGTCCCGCATGCAGAATTTATTTTTTATTTTTATTCATCGAGAGTTGCAGTGCACTGGCGGAGGAGAGAAGATGAATGAATACGGAGAGTAATGATTTCTTTAATATTCGAACTATTTCATGCCCTCACCCGCACAGTCATCACAAAGGTTGCGCCAGTTAAATGCGCGCCCCGACGAATCGCTACATCAAGACGTTTGTTCATTCTTTTAATGCGACGAACGGGAACATTGAAAAGGAATCGGCACAAAAGGCACGAATATTTCACTCCCTTGTTGTTAGCCGCCGATGGTGGTGGCGGAAAAGAAATTCTTTACCTTTGCGGTTCGCGCACTCATCGATCCCGGTGGCGTCAGAATGCTGCGAGGTGACGATAAATTGGTTTCTGCGCGTTGCGTACGCTCGCACTAAAAATAATAAAAAGGACTGCAATTACAGTCCCTTTTTCGCTATTTTTTCTTCGTCATAATCATAACATCGCGTCACCATCAGCAAAACTACAAAAAGCAAAGGCCGACGCCGCCGACTTGAAAAGAATACCGACGATGCCGGCTCTTTTTTTGCTTTGCTCCTCTTTGGTAGTAATGAAAGTGGGCCCTAGGCTACCAGCCGAAACTAATCAAATCTGTTTTTGCTCCTTTCGATCCTCACCCGAACGCCGTTATATTGTTCGCTACTTTGCCGGGACACTTTTTGCGGGTGGCACGTTCTGAATCTTATAAGGGAACGTCCTGTTATCGTTGTTGTAACTTATACAAAAAAATCTAAAAAGATTTTTTCACATCTTCATAAATAGATTTTCATTAACATCGACACGCAAAAGTTAAAGTTATCAATCCACCTTTTAATGAGTGTTCAACGACACTACATTTTATTACTCTCAAAGGTTTAACTCGCTCAACACATTCGTAATGCATCGTTACGTAATTTTAATCAAACAACATTCATTTATAATTATTTTAATATCACCACGTGCACTGCTTTGATGTTTTTCAACCGCGACAACTTCAACACGTTTCTCTTAGTTTTCACTTAGTTAACATCCTAGTTTAGTGATTATTTTGCTATAATAAAGCATTAAACGAGTGGTCGAAAAGAAAAACAACCCTTAAGGAGACAAAAACGTGCTCGTATTGTGTTTGCGTTAATTAATTACGCTATCTAATGAAGTTGTTATTCAGCGATCAATGTGGACAAAAAAACGATCTTGGGATGGACGCATTGTAAAGACTAATGATGTCTTGTATCCTTGCAATCTCCCTCTGACCACTTCAACCTGCTCAAGAGTCAGAATTGCACGCTCTTCTCGTTTCCAGAGCAGGAGAAAAACTTAATGCATCTTTCTTCGCCAATTCCTTGCTATGCACTAATGAGGTCATTCTGTTTCCAACAGTGTTTGTATTACATTACAAGAAAGAATAAAACATTAATTGAGTTTCAATTTTAATTAATTGTAATGTCTAACTTAATCAACAGAGCGATAAAAAAAACAACACATCTTGATCTTAACTTTGGAAACTTTAAAGACAATGCAACTTTATATATGAGGGTAGTTTTCAGAGTATAAATATAATGCACTACTGAAACATGATGCATCATCATGAAGCATTAAACTTTGTTCCTAATACACTTTACACATTTTTCTTGTACACAGCCATTGCTGTAGACTACAACTAGAAGAAAAATCAGCAATTGTAGTGAGGAAGGGCTGGTATCTAGAAATATCATGACATTTATCAATCTTTATAATTAAATAACTTTATAGCAAGCCGAAACTGGGAAGTGGAGTTTCAATTTTTCCACAAGATTCATTTCAGTTTTGCTGCAAGTGAATTACTATACTTCCCAACCTTTTGCAATAACTGATGCTCGAGGTGCTATTAACTAGTTGAGATTCATAGAGTTTGAAATATCTAAACTTTCTAAACTTTTCAAATAAATAAAGTTTAACAAAATTAAACAGAATGAACCCACGTTGATCTTAGCAGATGGGAGACCTAGTAATTAGTTTCGTTATTAAAATCAATTTTACGGCAGTTATTTAAATATTAATATGAAGTTTCAAAGTTGTTGATGAGTTTTTGCTTATAGCGAGTTTTTAATTTTATGGATTATATTAATTAATTAATTTGATAAGAGGTTTACTAATTAATATCAGATATGAATGTGGGAGTTATTTCTTATTAAGCTAATTTGAATGTAATCATTCTTCAAGTTGACAGTGCAGAAAATATATTGCTAATGGTAATGGTCGACTACTCATCCTGTTAAAAAACGAATCCCTCCTGCAAATCTCCGTAGCTAGAAATGTAAAATTCATTACTTTGCAATGCGAGCGAGTTTTTGCGCACTTTTTTTTCCGCCGGTGAGCGATCGCGCCATGCCGTTGTCGCCGCAGTAAGAAGAAATGTTTTCGTCATTATAACAGTCATCACGATGATGGAAGCGCACAATTTATAAAAAGGGGTTCTCGCTTGCGTCTAGGTACTAAACCAACACCATGACGGAAAACTAACATTTCGAATATGTGTGTATATATGAACGCGTGTGGCCCCAATATTGGACGCTGTCTGACGGACCATGTCCCCACGATGTTTGTATAAAGTTTCCTAAATGTCGACGAATAAATCTCTACCGAATGGGGAATTGGTATATACGCATATATATGTTTGCAAAGGCATGGGGCATGGGATGACTACTGCGTCTTACGTTTATATTCAAATGTCCGCACTAAACTACGAGTTGACTTGTCTCGGTTGCATTATGTCCAACGTTTGTCCAGCGTCCTCCTCAATGCTGCATGCGTATTGAATCGGACGCGGGGTGTTGTATAAAGGATAAGCTTCGGGACACTCGACTCAATTTCCTTTTCCCTCGAAGTCATTCTCGTTTAAGGCTCAAACAGCAATCATACAAAGTGTTTTACAACGAAATGAAAATTTTAAATTGTTTTATTATCAAATCCGTTACATAAATCATTTTTATTTTAAATTTAAGAATTATTTAAATGTATTTATAAGGTGGTAGGTGATATATTTGATGTGAGAAGAATAAGTTCGATTGTAATGGTAATTGTGAACATTCAGTATTCGATCAGTCCGAGTTGATGACGGCAGAGAAAAGCTCCCAGCAGCGATTCATTTCGGGCGCGCATATCCGGCATAAGCCAAGCTTTTTCGGTCTTCCTCGATGCGTTTTTCATAATCATGGGCTTCAAATTGCGTGAATGCGAGAAAAACCATGTCGTGCTTTCAATTATTGAAATTGCTTGACGTTCGCGATTAACAATCAAGTCATCAACTCAGAGACGGAGAAAAACTCCTAATTCCGAAGACATTTATCTCTGTTAAAGTTGATTCAACGATCTACCAGCGCAAAAAAATGCACGAGAAAGTCGAATTACGTAAAAACTAGATGGAAAGACGTCGTTGGGGAAGAAGACATCGCCTTGGGCTTTAGTTTTACCGAATCGTATAAATTGCCCAGTGGCAACGGAAAAAAAAACTACATTGTGTTCATTTGATTTGTTCCTAGTCCTGTGTGCTCGCTTTTGTTATGTCCCACGTACATGAAGTCTCTTTTATATTGTCACGTTTATTTGGAGGCCGATTGTTCGCGGCGAAATCATCGCGGACCCACACAATAGGGTTTCTTGCGCCAATGTCGCCTATAGTTTTGGAATGTTGGAAAGTTCAAAGTGTTTACGTAACTGGCGACCGAGGGCGAGGCGACATTATGAGTTTTTGCCGCCGGCGCAAAAATATCGCACCGAAATGCGCGTCCTGACAATTTATAATAGATATCGATGGCAAAACAATTCGTCCTCGAGACATTCAAGCGACAGGAGATGACATCGCAATGTGTATTGTTTTGACTCGATGTGATTCGGCATTGTGTTTCGCCTGCGCTTTGCATTCAATGCGTTTTTTTCTTGTCTGGTTTCAGCTCCGTATTCCTCGCACGAGAATGGAGATGGTACCGGCACCGGCACGTCCAAGCTGCAATTCACGTTATCCCGCGGCGATTTGAGTGCCAAATTCGAATGCAGGGTTGAGAGCGCCGCAATGCCTGAGCCGATCGTCTCCTTTATGAGGGCCGACGTGAACGGTGAGTGTAGTTATTTATTTTTTGTTTGTTTTTACTTTTTCACTAGATTCAACCACTCTTAAACCTTGAAATGAAGAAAGATATCGCTGTTCATCACTTTGCACGTTCTTTGGAATAAATTTCTCGTCTGGTTAAGCATCAGTCTAGACAAAAAAAAACTTTATTTTCAACCGTATAAATATCGTCGCGTTTGTTTGTTTCGGAGTGTGTGGAATTTACTCGATATAAAGTGAATGTGCACACAATGCAATGTATGCAATTTTGCAACAAACGTGAGGCATTTATAATTACTCGCAGCGAGCGCTGGACGTTATCGCTCAATTAACTTTGTTAGGCACGCTCGTTTCCTGTGATCTAAAAACCGAAACAAGCGGATACGTTTTTGTGGACATGCCATGAGCAGATTGTTGAAATAATAGCCACCACACACACACACAAAGTTCACTGTTTTGGGCTGTTTGCATTAACGTTGAGTGAAAATTACAGGCGAATTTTCGGGAAAAGAAATTTGACCATCGAATAATTACGTTCGAAGCGTAAAAGCAAAGCCGATTTCACGCAATCGAACAATCAAATTGCGTTAAATAACGCGTTAGAAATGCTTCATCTTGTATTCATAGATCGATAAATATTTACAGTACATATTACGCGATTTAACTGCAGTTAATTTCTCGTTTGTAATTACCATGTTATTGGACGCTTCGATAAATTATTCAATCGATTACAAACAAGCATTATATTTGAATTTCAAATAATGCTAAATATGAACCAACAAATACTGCTAATACATTGTTCATTTATGGTTTTAGCATATTTTAAATTAAAAGTAGTTTAAATCAATTACAATATTGTTCTTAACTTCACAAAAAGTTTGCAAGAAACTTAACATCGCGAAGCAAGATCAATAGACGCGTGACAAAATTTAATAACATCATTAAGCGCTCGGGTACAAATTTTATATAATACGCGACACAAGATTAGCAAAAGCTATAGCAATGCCCTGCAACTTACTGCTCGACTTTGTACCGATTTTGCAGTTACAAAAGTTGCTATTTTACTTTAACTGTCGTCATTTTTTAACTAGCTTTATTCTTTCTTCGTTAAAAGCCACCAACTTAATAAAACAATGCATTTTGCGGTTTCACACGATATACTTTCATTTAAAACTCATTTCACTAACGCGAACCAATAAAACTGCAAGTAATAACTTGCGCAGCTCACTAAATGAGTTAATAATGAATAAGTGCAGTTCTCGCCAATAAAACGTTTCTTCTGCGCGTGACTTTATCTAGTCCATGGGCTGCAAGTGCATGGAGTATCTGGTATCGTTAGCGTGCCGCAGTCAGAGCTTGGTGGATGCGCCCGGCGCACCAGGAATATACTCGTGCGCGAGTGCCTCGCACGATAACTATTTTATAAATGGAAGCATAAATCATCTATTCATGAAGCACTTATATGGGGGTTCGGTATGTACGAAAGTAAATTGTTTGAATAATTTCTCAGTTGAAAAATCCTTTTCGGATGGCGCGCTTCGTGCGCATTAGAACGCGCTGCACTCACGGCGTTAATATTGATTAATACCTTCTGCAGTCGGCGAACGAATTAGAAATGGATAGTGCAGTAGAAAAGGAAAACAACTATATTTAAAGATAAATTGCAAATTTTTCATTTTTCATTGGCTCATCGACGTCACGATAATAAATCATTTGATTTTATATGCGGTTTCCATAAAATTTAAAGAAAATAAAAGCGCGTTAATGCAACAAGTCATGGTTTGAATTGATGGCAGCTGTTGATAATTAATTACCCTATGGTTGTGATTGTTGTTTTTGGTTTATAGTTAAACCCACTGGCATCGTGCTCAGCGGTGTCAACGGTCACGTGGTGCAGGGATCGAACGTGATGCTCATCTGTGATGTGATCGGCGCGCGGCCCGCGGCAGACGTTAAGTGGCTGAACGGCAGCCAGCCCATCACGGACCAAAAGTTTATCCAGACGGAGCCGGAGAAAATGGTGAGTCCTGTACATTTAATAAAGCGCGCCTAGGGCGTGCGTCTCGCAATGATACGCGCGTGCGACGTTCTGAAAAACGCCAGCATATGTCTCTACGGCCGAGAAACAAGTTTCGGGGCTCGTTTCTCTATTTTTCTTGCTTTTTGTTTTTATTCTATTTTCCTTCATTCCGCGGCGTGCACATCGCACGCTTCTTCGCCGCACTTCTATCAACGTCTACACGTGCGTCTCGTGCCTCATGCTTCATGATGGTGCTCTCCCCTATCGTTTTGTTTCGCATGTCGACGGCTTAGCCCGTCGTATTATTGCGTCTATCATAAGTAGCATCCGGAGCTACGGCTTCGGCGTTCGGAGGCATCGGGACGAGAAAGCGAGTTTGCCGCGGACGACGATTCGCTTTATTAAGTTTCTCGTGTTCTTTCGTTCTGTTATTTCGTCTGGGCGCTCGTATCACTTCGTCGCGTACAAGTGTTCTTGATTTTATTACGGAAACACACTTTTGCGTTCTTGTTTCAATATAATATTGATATTTTATGTCTGGCAGAAAAGCCTGGGCGATGTTAGAGCTTTTTGTTTTCATGTTCTATTAACTGGATTTTATGTCAATCGCAAATGGCTTTTTTGCCTGGAAATCACATTAGACCAGATTTTATCAACAATCGAAAATCTAATAAAAAATGCCAGCTTGTAATAATGTTTATCAACGAAATATATTTAATTATTTTGGGTTTTCTAGCACGAAATATTTCGTGTGCGTGTTATCATAACCAGTTCACCTGTCGTCACGTTTATCAAATTAGTTATGATGTGCATGCATCGCGCAGCGCATAAATCGCGCCTGCATATATAATATCAAAACGTGTTGCCCGTTGGCTTCTTGTTCACGAAATCTGGGTTGTTTGGGGTTCTCGGCGCGGAAGCCACATCTCCCCTTTGCCAATTCAAGACCCCGCGCCGGTTCCGATATAATAATTTAGATTTATTGAAGTAATTTGTGTGCAGCTTTCAGAAATTTATATTCCGGGTTAAATTATGTCGCTCTCCTTGACCTTACGCAAGCCATGGCGCTCGGCGTTCAGCTTGTAGGCCGCGCAAAACCACCCGCTGCCGAACGCTCGCGCGAGCGAGCCGGAATCGGGTCTAATTTCTCGTCGGTTAATTAATTAACGTTCTCCCTTTTCTGTTGCACGCCGCTGCGCCGCTGTTTGACGCTCAAACAGCCATTAGTGACGAAAGTAATTCAAAACGTAAGTATGTCAGACAAGTCCACAACGATGTTTCATCAGTTTGACGTTAGCCAAATGTTGACTTAAATTGATTGGATTTGTAGAGTTGGAGTAGCATCATCGATAAAAATTATTTTATTTGAGCATCAGCACAGTGATTTTAAGATTTGGCTATTTTAGTTGGTTTTAAGTAGCATTGCAAAGTTTTAGTGGCTGTAAAGATGGCTGAAACCCTATTGGGCGCGTCTGCGGTAATTACTGTTTAAGAGCAGTTAATAAGATATGTAGTTGCGGCGGCTTCCTCCCGGCTACGACTAATAAATTTCACCCGAATCGGGCGCGCCGGCCCTCCTTTCCCATGCACCGCCGTCACTTTAAAGTAGCTTCGGAAAGAGATGGGGCGCCCGCTGAAGGGGGAAATCGTTTGCTCTGCTTCTTTGCCGCCGCTGCCGCTGAAGGCACTGTCGGGAAATAAAAGGACAATAAATAGGAAATTTAGTCGTCGGCGCGCTCCCTCCCCCTGCTTGCGTAACTGACAAGTTTTGCATCGCGCAGTTTTTTTTAATGCGAATAATATATTACGCGCGCGACATTTACATGCGAGGAAGAAAGTTTTCATTTCCGGTCACGGGGCCATATACTTAGACGCGACTTTTATCATTGCAACCGAGGCCTCAGCTGAAAAGACGGGGGAAAAGTTTTCTTTACACGATTTTCGCTCCCACGTCGACTGCTTCACTTATATTTATATCCCGCTTCGTTTCCGTAACTTTTATTCGTTAAGTTTCATGAAATTATTGTGTGAATATTCTTCGTGACTCCTTTCAAAAAACGAACAAAACCAGCAAAAACATTACGTGTCTATATTCCGTGTCGTAGAGAAGATATTAATTTTGGTTTTATCGTGATTTTTCTATAGCGAGACGGAACTTTTACGACAAAAAGCAGCTTTATATTCCAAGCAAGCCGATATGAGAACGGAAATGCTTTTCACTGCTACGCTGAAAACAGCGTGATGAAGAACCAGCAGGAGCCGGCTCTGCATGAGGTGCTCGCGCTCGATGTCTATTGTAAGTGCATCGTTCCGTGGCCGTTGCAGTTCGGCGCTGTTATCGCGGCGTGTATTAATTGGTAATTTCAACAGATCCTCCTGTGGTCCAAGTTTCTCCACCCAACATCACCACGTTGGAGTCTGGCAACGTCATTATGCTCTGCACTTACATCTCGAACCCGATGACGCTCTTCGGCGTCACTTGGTAATTACGCTCGACAATTTGTCATTCTGCGGATGTCATCACGCTTTCGCTTTCAGGACGAAAAACGGTCAGAACCTTACTATCGCTAAGAACCCGAAATACGCCGGCGGCACTATTGAAAATCTTCCCTTGGTGATCCAGAATGTGTCGAGGGAGGATATGGGCGAATACTCGTGCACATGCAAGAACGAAGTTGGCTCGACTGAGTCGGACGAAACGATTTACCTTAACGTGGAATGTACGAAGAATCAATCATTATTTGCTCTCTATTTTGCGCCTTCGGCACTATCGGCAATGTCTTCAACATTTATTTTTCAGATCCGCCCAGCGTCGAGGTGATAATGGATCCGCAAACACCGGTGAAGGTGCAAGATCAGGCAAACGTGACGTTGGTCTGCTCGGTGACGTCCGGAAACCCTTCGACCTTATTAAAAGTCAGGTGGTATTTGGGTGGCGCTCTGTTGAAGGAGCTTCCCGACTGCGAGGAAGGCGCATACGCGTCCGGGGAAGACGGTGATGGTAGCGGCAGCGGCGGCGGTCAGTTTTGCGAAGTCGACCCAAGCCTAATCAGTTTGCAGAATGTGGTCGAGGGCATGGCGGGTAACTATACCTGCCAGGGCATGAACACGGCTGGCTGGGGCCCGGAATCCGACCCGGCCGAACTGATCGTCTACTATCCCCCGAAGCCAGCAAAATTGCGATTCACCCCGTCGAAAGTTATCAAGACCGCTTCGGTAACGTTAGAATGCTCGGTCGATCATCCTGGCCGGCCTGAAAACATTACGTACTTGTGGTATCGCGGCACCTACCAAGTGCCCGACGTCACCACAGCCAATTGGACAATCTCGCCGGTGCTGTTTGAAACCAAAAGCAATTTCACTTGCATTGCCTCGAATGAAGGAGGTCGCAGCGAACCTGCGAGCAAGTTCATCAACGTGGAAGCCCCGCCAGCGTTTATACGCAATTTGCCTTCGTACCAGGGTGTCCTGATGACTTCCAAGAACATTTCACTGACCTGCCGCGTAGAGTGTTCTCCCATGTGCTCGGTAACTTGGTTCAAGGACGGACAACTACTCAACGTCGACGACAATCTATTGTATTACATAACCAACAAGAACCTGCCGGCTGATGTGCGAAAAAATGACTTCGAGTCTATTGAGTCCACTCTGGTGAGATGAGAGCGTGCGGTCGTCAATTGACTCATAAACTAATCCAATTGAATTCCCTTAATAGGTGTGGAACATGACTGCGTGGCCAGGACAAATGCTCGATCGCACCGCACCGCTTTCCAATTACACTTGCCAAAGTTCTAGCAATGGCATCGGACCCGGCGTTAATTCGACTATTGAGATGGCGGTCGACTGTAAGTACCGATTCTATGACTATTAAGCAAGCACTTATCGTAAAAATCTGATTAGATCCGCCTGAGAATCTCACTGTCTCTAAGAACGTCGTCTTTGTCGTTGAAAACCACAAACCCGAAAAGGTGACTTGCAGCGGCAAGGGACATCCAGCGCTCAGTTTCGTCTGGCGCCAAGAGGGTTCCACGGAGCCGATTGTCAAAAGTCACATCTTGAATCTGGGCGCTGTGCCGCGCTCGGCTTCCGGTAAATACATTTGCGAAGCATCAAACCGTCATGGAAACGAAACAACGAACATGTATCTGAACGTGCAATGTGAGCAAACTTCGTCGAGTCCTTTTTCTTTACGCGTCGCTAACTTTTGTTTGTGTTTACGTTTTTGTTTCACGATCAGATGCACCCAGCTGCACTCTCGAAACTACAGAGTTTGAGGGAGGAATGGCCCTTGAGTGCACGGCGCACGCAAATCCCCAAGAAGTGACCTTCACGTGGAAAATCAAAGGGGAAAACGATTCGGTCGAAGGAGCCACGTTAGTCCAGCAGAATTTGAAGGGCTATCTCAAATTGGATTCGAGCGTCGATTCCTTCCGGACGTATCAGTGCTTCGTGAATAACTCAGTGGGGATTAGCTCGCCTTGCGAACGAGACGTTACCGGTAAGCGAAACGAAAACATTTGCCCTGCGTGGACACGAAGTCAAAGCCGCTTTCGAGCGAGCTTCGACACACTGCCAACTCTTAAAACATACATACATCCCTACATATACACAGATATGAAATTACCTAGTGTATGAACTAGTTGCTGTTTTTATGTAGCGTACCAGGAGCAAAGTAGTCAAATCGGAGTGCCAGGTAAAGAAACAATCCAATTCAGCTGGAACAAAATTTTCTTCTTCGTTTTGTGCTGCGTGTAGACTGGTTAAATGCATGCACATGGGTTTATTTAGCACGCTCACATTGAATACACTTTTCTCCTGGGTTCTCATACTTTTTTTTCTTCCAATGCTGACGCGGCCCCTTGTGAGTTGGGGGCACGCTTCTAGCTTTGAGAGAAATTGTTTAATTTCAGCACTTGTTGCATCATTCGTTTGCTCTTTTGGTGGCTGCCGGGAGTTCATCGCATTGTTTATACACACTATGCAAACAAGCGCCAAGGTTTGGACGCGTCAGAAACTATAAAATGTTCTTGTATTTGTAGGCGTTATTCCGTGGTGGAAGCAGTTCACAAACAACAACATCTTCCTCATCATCGTGATTGTCGTTTGTCTCATATTCTTCGTGATTGTTATCTGCATCATCATTTGGCTGGTCTGTCGTAGAAAACGCGCCAACAACAAATGTAAGTTGACTCACAGATTATTGCATTTTGAAATTAACGTTTTGATTGATGTTTTTTGGTGATTACTAATATTTAACTAATTGTGTGAATTCGTTTGCATCCGCATCGGCAATAGATACTAACGCAGTTGAAATGGAAGAACGAGAAAAGTAAGTTGGTATAATTTTCTTAAATATTTCTTGGAAAATATTTATAACTTTATTGCAGAGAAATGTATTGGCCAAAGTACAGTGAGAGCTTGATCAAAACCAATTATAACCAATTACAAGTTGTTGCCTCCGAAATTATTACGGAATATATTTGAAATCAAGATCAAACACCCAAGATACGAGCCAAACTTAACTACGCAGTTAACGATTCGGTAATAACTGTTTTGGTTATCGCGTTAACATCAACCTAAATCGTTATCATTAATCTATGTACATTAGCGGCGTTCTAGAAAATCTCGATTGTTTAACGTCTGATCATTTCGCCAACGTAAAACATAATAAGCTCGTTGCAAATTGCAAATATCGCGCGGGTCATAAAATTCTACTTAGCATGTATTAAAAAACGTTAAGTACATTCATACAAGCTCTCTCGTTACTTTCAGGTACATTTAAAAAAAACGCTATCCAATTTCATTTAAAACTCTAACTACATACTAATTTTTATGCTATCGATAATCTCTTTGTGCAATAGCAACTTTTGTGATATTTCACCTTTAATTTCATTCTTCGAAATTTCTATGCTTTCATTTACGATTTTATCACTTCACTCAGGAACACTGCATTTTTTATTTTGGTTTGCAAGCTTATTATTCATGATTTTGGTTTGTCTCTTTGTAACTCTTTGTGGTTGAAGGTAAGCGTAAATGTATCAGTGTTGTACTTACATAAACACAATTAATGTTTCTTGAGCACTTTAATTACAAAAAGGACCGTGCACATTTTAAATATTTTTTTTTTACAAATTAGTAGATTTATGTTCCTCCCACAAGTTAGTATTGCACAACAGTTCGAAAGTAAAAAATTAGCATTCTTTCATGAAATGCACCTAAAATTTAATAATTGTGTTTGATGAATTCATATGGAATTCATTTGTGCAATTTAGGATTAAATTCTAGGTGTTATGAAATGTTATATTAATAAAGGACAAACTGAAAACACTCTTCCATATTGCATAGCCAAAGTTTGACTACGAATCTGAGTCACAGTGTGTGCACTGCTATTACTTTAATCAATTAACTGTTTCTGGGTCTCGAATAATACGAGCGCAACCTTGTTTTACTGGCGAGCACGTAAAATATCTCGCGCATTTGCAAAGTAATGCAGCCTAACACTTTGTGATTTCGAAATGCGCCGACGCGCACACTAAAACAGGGATTTAGTTTGGTTACTAACTCAAAGCTAAAATAACTCCGTAGGTTCCTCTGCACTCAAAGTCCTGACGTGTTAGGACTTCCTCTCGTGCCTTGTGGTAGAGTAACATATTTGGGTCGACAAGGTAGTTGAAAACTAACAATCTAAGCATGCTACAATTAAGTTTATGAAATACTTTTGCGTGCCGCAAATTGTATGTACACTTCTTTGTTTATAATAATAATAGAGTAATAAGTACGCGTGGTGGTTTCTATTTTGAAAACTTATTCAAATTTTCTCTTAACAGTACATTGTTTGCTGAAATTAATTTATTGTTTTATTTGTTTTGCTCTGCTTCTTATTAATTTTGATTTGGCTCAGACCCGATGGACAATCGCCGGATACATCAGGTAGTAAATGGCCGTTGAAGCCAGGCGTTTTGGTGCATGTTAATAAGATGCACAGCTTGAGTCAATTAACACCACTAGCCGGGAGCCAGTACAAGACAACATCAGTGCCCATCAAACCGGGACACCGCGCACCCTATATAAGGAGTGGAAATAAAGTTTATGAGAGATTAGAGAAGCTCAAGGAGTGGCTGGGATTGCGTCACGACCGAGACGCGCTGCCATTTGGCGTATATCGCGGCTCAGCAGGAGGTAATCTTTATGTCTTTCTCAAACTGCATTTCTTCGTTAGGTTGGAAACGTAAATATCTTGATTTGACTATATTGCATACCTTAAAATGATCTAAATTAATTCGAAGGATTAGTCCGAACTACGCCTTCATTTATTTGCTTTTATTTATCGGACGCGTATATGCCACGACGATCGATTGTCACTTCCGCAACGACGAAGTGCAGTTGGGATTTTCATTTAATTTTATTTGATTGTTTCGCATCGTGTTTTGTTTTGTCGATTTTTGTTTTGTTCAGTTTTCTAAAAGTTTTTGTTTGTGTTTTCTTCCCGTTGCACGCGTTTATAGTTGTGACGTTTAAAAAGTTTAAAGACGCCCCGAGTAGCCCCACGCAAACGGATGTTGTTGCCGCATCGAGGAAGAGAAAGAAACCAGGACTCCGTAAGTGCCTCCACTTTTTGTAGCTCTCCGACCACGAACTCGTTCACGTTCACGTCGCGCTATCTACTCTTGCATTATTTATTCGCTTTCGTTGCCTGCCTGCTTGCCCGTTTGTTTACTTTACTTTAAGCCCGCACATAACAAATTTATATTTTTGCTTTCACTATATTCCAATATTCCACGAGTTTATATATTGTATAAATATATAAATTTATTTGAAACAATAGTCATAGATCATTCAACGATTGCAGCGCAACCTTCTATTCGTATTCAATGCGATAGGACTTTTTGTATTCCAAGCTTGAATGTGAATGAGTGTGGTTGCGTTGCGAAAATCAAATTTTTCAATCTGATTGAAATGATTGGCCAGCGATAATGGGCGCGAGCTGCGCGACGTAACAATATCGGGCAAATGTGATTTTAATCTCGTTGCTGTTTAATGTTTCAGCACCGAACCCATCCTCTACACAAGATAAGGGGGTATTGGGGGCTGCTCCACCGGGTGGCGGTTCAGCAGACCCCCTTACTGATCCGGACAACGGGTTTTACGAGAACCTTCCGTTCCACGGCATGCAGAGTCCACCGAATAAAGTACGTACACCATACAATAACTCTTTCTTTGAAGCATTTAAAATTTTACGATGTTTGTTTGTATTTTGTCATGCATTTTCGTACATGCTACGGTCTCATCGTGAAAACTCTGAATTTTTAGAGCTTTATAGTTGTGTATTGCTTTACTTTACCTCAAAATATGATAATCTATTAGTAGTGCGGTTTTATTTTTGCTGTTATTCAGATTGACCAACTATTGGTTAAAGTTGTATGAATATTTGATAGGTTTTCACATTGGGACCCTCTGTATGGTGATGTAGCTCTGCATTAACGTTTTTTTTTTGCTATGCGTATCAATGCGTAGCGTTTGCCTGTGTTTTGATTTATTCACGCTCGAGTTGAATTTACGTTTTATTTTTATTTTGGATTTTGTTTTATTATTTTTGCAGCCGGTTTCTGTTATTTCGCCGATAATACAAGGCAATGCCATTCCGTACTCGCCGTCCACGAAATCGCTTATCGCCGCCACCAGCCTGCCGTCCTATAATCAAAAGAAAATCCAACGCAATCAATCATTCCACGGCTTCCAAACATATCACATGTATCCGCAACCGAACTCTTTTCCCGGCTTCAATCACTGGCCTTCTTTCTACCATATGCCGGCGCATATGCAATTTTCCAGCCCAAATCTGCACTTCATGCCGCCCATATTTTATAATTTGCCGCGAAGTTTCCACCAAAGCTCGGGCGCTAATACGGTGAGCGCCATCAGAACGAATCCGCAAATAAATCCTTTCAACTATTACAACCGTGTGCGGAGTTTTAGCAATTTGCCGAATCCATTTAGCACTGTCAACGCGAATCCATTTATGATTTCTAATCCATTTAATCAGCAGGCGCGCTCAGTCGGCAGGAGCGACGTGCTTCGTCAGCCAGACATACGGCGCACTGCCTCAGGTATAAACCTTTCGACAGACTTAGACAAAATTAATAGAAACGCAATTAACCCGCTGCGGAGCTCCGACGGCGAGGCTGTCGCAAGCCCGAACGCGATCCCCGACAATAAACGTTTTAATTCGCTTGAGATGAAAAAACACAAGTGCTATTCGCCGACATTCTACTCGATGCGCTGCAAGAAGCATGCGAAGAAACGACCGATCATTTATGCCATCCCAAAGGTGCACAAAACGGGCGAGGCGCAAGCCGCGAATAAATCGGCATGTCAGCCGCCGCTGACGAATGACAAAGAGGGGGTTTTCGAGCACCTAACTGATAGCATACAAATTCTCGAACAAAACGACGACACGCAGAACTCCACCGACTCGTTATCTAAAAATACGTCTTGCCCCAAACACGGTCGCACTAGCTCGCTTAGCAAAAACACTGTTTCTGCGCCAGTTTTCACCAAAAACAATAGCGTGTCGTTTCCTGCTTCCCAGGAGACGTCACCAAATTGCAAACACGAGGACTCAATCACCCAAGCCCTCATTCATAAATCTACGCCAAAGCAAACTAAACCAGTATCTGAAAACAAAGTCACCCCGGTTAGTCGATCGGAAATACCAAAAATCAGCTCAAATCAATCAAAGGAAAGCAACAACACCAAATTTTTGCCAAAGATAAGCGATGTCACTCCCAAAGTTAAACGGCCCACCCCTACTGTTAAGGTGAGCCCTAATTTTATCAAACCAAAAGTAGAAAGTCCAAAAGGTGCCCTTCATCAACAACTTCAAGCAAAACTCAAGGCTAGCGCCGCGAAATCAGATCTTACCTTGAACAGTTGTACCCTTGTGCAACGGGCTCTGAGTCAAACCTCGTTGAACCAGAGCAACAGCTCCTTAAACAAACTCGACGCAAACATTAAGAGTAGTTGTGATTCGTTAAATTCGGCCGCGGAGGTTGCTAAGAAAAAGTGCAAGATAGACGAGGAAACGCGCGTTCCGGCTGCCGATGATGAAATTCCTGAACTTCCCCGCTCCGCACCACCACCGCTTTCTTCCTTTATCGAACATGTCAACCGAGTACCAAAAATGCCTTTATTGGATACACAAAATAAATGGAATGCCATTAATCACGCAAATAATACTGATAATAACAGAAAGGTGTGTGCTTTTTATTTTTCGTTTTTGAATTTTATTTCGTAGCAGCAAGAATTTAATCTTCTCTTGTACCGCAATTTTGATGCAAAAAATACTGTATATTCAAAGATATATTGGTTGTTGGCAAAAGAAGATTAAATTTCCATTATGGTCATTGTTCCTGTTACAAACATACGCTTATTAGCTGTAATCAGGATTCGATGTATTAGTGTGAAACTAATCAATCATGCATTACATGTTTGCAGAATGCTTTTTACACATTAACAACGCCACATCTTAAACAACTAACTCAGAATCATCAGCAATACTCCGCCACGATTCCGCATCAAAAGCACATGAAGCTGATACCACGCTCGCTCTTTCAAGATCCGCAAATCAGCAAGAGCAAATCGTTCACGTCCAAGTCAAAGCCGAAAAAGCACTTTCAGATACCCCTTCAAAAATGTCACAGTTTCAAATTTCAAACGGCGGAATCATACTTCCAGCCGATCAAAAATATTCACGAGGAGAATTTGATGCGCAACGGCTACATATCCGATCTGGGTCCAAATTACCCCGAAAGTCATCACTCGTCGTCCCGTCATAAACGCGACAAACATCACCATCAGAAAACCAACGGACCGCTGCTGCTGCGCCACCCCAACGATTATCAAGAGAACATGCAGTTCCAGGAAAACGTGGCGAATTCTGTGCAGCTACAATATCCACAGCCGGTGATCACTGGGCACGGCTCGTTGCCGCGGCCTAACGGCGTCGTCTATGCCGACCTGGATATGCCGCAGAAAGCAAACGGCAAAAAGTCCAAAGATCCAAGCGGTGGTGGTACTGGCGCGCTCAAATCGCGAGAGCACAAGGCCCCCGGCAAAGCAAAGACTGAATACGCAACGCTTCAATTCAACGATGTCGGCCAGGAGATCGACGTCTAACAATTAGTTTTGCTACTAACAAGACTCAACGTTTAGGATTAACTTAATTACGAAAGGTTTGACTATTAATTTATTAACTCATTGATGCAATTATGCAGGACGGCACGTGGCATTTAATTTAATATTTGCTCCCACAAAATATACAATTATCGCAACATACTTCGCCTTGTAATTTGATTAATTAATGCGGAAGTTGCCAAAGCCAGATGGATGGCGAAAGTTAACGTTTTCACTTTGTTCTAGACGAATGGAATACCGACGACTACAAGTGATACTTATATTTTCTAAATATTAAGGTAACGACTTACAATGATTGCTTCTTTTTTTATAAATAACTTAGAAATTTTTCTGAAACAACTTCTTAAAATGTGAATAATTGTAAATTTTAAAGAGCAAATTTATTCATTCAATGCGTTGCCCTATAACATTGGCTAATTTGCTTGTTTGTTTTAAAGACTAATATTTGTTTGATTTGTTTGAAGACTATGCATATAGCATAAAATCGTAATAGCATCGTTTATAAAGCATACAAGTTTTAGTTTCTTTTTTACGATTTTCCACTATATTTTGCCAATAAGTAACATGTATAATGTTAAAAAAAACCGACGGCGAAGAGGAGCTAGGAAAAAATATAAGTAATGTGTATATTTTGGTCGGCGCTCCCTCATATAAACTGCGCCACTTTTTCGTAGATAAAAATTTCTTCCTTTTGATGTGTTTTCTTACACATCATTTCGCTAATGCGATGCCGCGCTTATCACGCGCTCAATATTTTTTACGCAACTTTTTTAGCGCTTAGAAGCCCCGACCTGCCGCGGTAACCATCTAACCATGAAGCAATATTTTAGGTTTACGAAAACTTTCACGCAATGTTTACATCAACAACGTTTATTTTCCTTCGGGATAGCGTGGCATACTATATTTTGCTACTTCTATCTTCTAAAGGTATTCCATATACGTGATTTCGATTATAACTAATTGAGTAATTTTATTTCTAGCCGTACCAAACCGAATTCAGCGACTTGGACTACGCAGACGTCGATTATAGATCCTACGGCCCAATCAACTACAAAGCCGCATCTATGCTGGCCGCCATGAAGCGCAAGAACGTCCAAGGTGAACAGGATGATTTGCTCTGATCGACGCCATCTTTGCTATACCGACAGCTTTTACTTTTTTCTTGAAGCCATTTATTCGTTAATTAATTTATTGATAAACATCTGCTCCTACTTACATTTAATGGTTTCTATTTTTATTTAGTTCTATTGATTATTCTTCTGCGATGCAGTTCTGTGAATGGGTACTTTTATAGAACGCCGGTTATTATTTCTATCAGTTACTTTATTGTAAAATAAGCTTTTTGAAAGTAATTATTCACTAATTCGTTGTTGAATGTATAACTTGATATAGCATTAATACCAAAAAGAAGACTTGTAAAAAACACGATATCGCTCAATTAAAATTTTGACATTTCGAATAAAATAATTGTAAAGTTGATCAACTCGCGAACACATTTGTAATTCGTGCCAAGAGAATTTGTCTTAATACTTTTTCCAATGAGACGCATTTTCCAAATGACGAAATGTAGGCGTAATGTTTGTGTTTTATAGAAAGAAAACCGTGAAATGAAAAGAGAAATTAAGAACTGTGACGTCCAAATATTTATATTAATATTATAAGATTTATTGGGTGTGGTGCTCCGACTAACACATAAAATAAAACAGAAACTTTTTACTACACGATGTAAAAAATGATTATTGTACATTTGAAATATTTGAATTAGATATTTATTGCTAACTACAAATAATTCTATATTAATATTTATAATAGACTTTGTTTAGTTATATTTTAATCGATATTGCTGTATCAACATTGTAGATATTGTAAAATAAATTTAATAGGAGTTATTGCAATTTGCATCATTTGGTATTGACCCATATGTACCATATGTACATGTGAGTTGGGTAATCGATAGGACTGCATTTAAATACCCTTAAGTATCGAGAAGTGCTCTTAAATCGATTTCGAATTACATCAATTTTGGTTATACTCTAAAAATATGGGTGAAAATGGGCCTTGTGATTAATGATTTTTAGTTTGGCTCCGTAGAAATTTTGTCGAGTTGCGCTAGTAACACCAAAACCGGCGCTGCTATGCATTCATAGTTTAGCGATGCTTGTATGTAAACAATTTTTTTGTCGCGTTCAGTGAGCGTATCGCGCAATACTGATAGTGACCTCGTGTTGTCGCTGTTGGCTCATGCAGTTCGACGCTCATGCAGTTACATTCCGGCCGTCGGATAAATCGCGTGTGTTCATCGCGACTAGTCTTGTTTCTTCAGATCATAATTACAAGTCAATTACATTTGTTAAAAATGATGGCACGCATTGAGTGTTTATCAATTCAAGATTAATTTTCGGTTTTCTTCTGCGCTCGTGTGTCCGTCGGCAATCAGTTTTCTTTTCGCACATAATAATAAGTTGGATTTGTAATTAATTCGTGCAAGTAGGCCACGCTGGTGCCCAGGGAAGAAGTTTATGAGTACCTATACCATGGAGCTTGAAATATCTAAAGCGGAAGTGTTGGAGATGTGCATATTTAAGGCAAGTCTTCTATGTTGCAGAATTTACGTGCTGTCGTTATTTTTTATTTAAAAAATGTATCTATTACTAAATGTTGTCAATAAAATACAATGTAAAATTATAAATCATTCATATTTCTTGGTAGTATCCTCTTTGTTGTTTTCAGTATTAACGTCGCTACGTCATATTGCATATAAATCTTATGCGAGTAGAGCGAGTACAATATAGTTGAGACATGTGTTGTTGTTTTTTAAATTTGAATAAAACAGAAACATAAATAGAAGAATCAAATAACAACGATAAAAACACTCGGTGGTCGAGTGCGGACGTGCACCTGCTGGCATGCTAGTAGACACGGATCGAATCTCAGGTATAGAAGGCATTTTTCTCAAATATAAAAATAATATGTGTAATTTGGGTTGCATATATGAATTGCAACGAAATATATGAGAAATTGAAATAACAGTGAAGGCAATAAGAGAGGTAAAAAAGTAAGTAAGTGGAGAAACGGAGAACAGAGAAATAGAAGAAGGAATAGCAGAAAAGAGTAGAAGACAGAGTAGGAGAAGAGGAGGAGATAGAAGAAAGAGAGAACAGGGGAGGATCAGATTTTTAAATTTTTTGGCACGTGTCGTTATAAGACAGTCACAGGTCGATCTCCCAGAGCGCCTCCGGCGCTCTGGTCGATCGCCCACTACTTCGATGCGTCCATTGCTCCCGGCCCATCCTACAGCTACGATGTCTCTGCGCTTCATCCCCGAAATTATCAGGCATATCAACAATTTTTATGGTGGGGGATCACCCCCAGAGAGAGGGAACTCCTTATAAGGTCTTGTTCAAATATTTCTAAGTTTTAAGTCGTCTCAAGAGAGGCGACACTTAAAAATATTCTTACAAGTTCTGACCTGTAGCTGAAATGAAAGAAGGAGCACACAAATCACACAGGATACCTTAACAATTTTTATAGTGGGGGTCATCCCCTGAGAGAGGGAACTCTCTTAGAGACCTGTTCCTGAAATGATAGAAGGGGTATACAAATCAAAGAAGTCAATATATCTTACTATTTATTTATTAACAATAAAATACAAGAATACAAGAATAGAATACAAGTTTAGATTTTACAAGTCAACCAAATACGTGCCGCTATGTTGAAACAAGACTTATGACCTGCATAGCCACGCACATGTAAGAAAGTACCATGTAACAATGTTCTATGGGGATAAGGAAATTAGCAAATAGCTCATTTTCTAAGTGATTGAAAATAGAAACAAATATACAAGGTGTTACAAATGGAAAATTTAATGTGAAAACAGAAGAAGAAAAAAAATAACACTACAAATATCATTCGTTTTTCACCCGAGGCTCCGGGTAATATACAGGGTGTTACAAAAAGAAAATTCAAAGGGCAATGAGGAAAACCCTAAAAACAAAAGTTAAAGCAAAATTTTCACGGACACAAAGAAAACATGAATATACAGGGTGTTTCAAAAAGAAAATCTCTAGTTGAAACAAAAACACTCAAAACTCACAATTTTGTACGTAGTGTTAGGAAAACTAATATACATGGTGTTACAAAAAGAAAACTTTAGAAACTACAAAGGGAGTTAATATTCACAACACGAAGAGAGAAATTTACAAATAAACAACAATATTTTAATATAAAATCCAAGATTTTACCCGAAAATCATCGGAAAATTGAGCAAAAAGATGATATAAAAATCAAACACTTACATTTTAACATATTGTGAATATATATTTATTAATTGATGCATCAACTGCATAAAGTAACCAACGGGTGAAGCATCATCATAAATTGATAGACTATCCGGCGGAAAACATTCAAATCAGCTTACGGCAAGCGACGGCGCATAGCAATACGGTTGTTAGAGAGATATACGGAGACTATTAAAACGAAAAACTATTCAACCTACAAGATTTTATCAGGTCAACAAAAAACTTCTTAATTTAATGATGCTAAGGAGTGCAAATCGATTAAAAACATTCACGTGTTCAGCGTAAAGATGGCCGAGTCAACGGCCGACGGCAAAGTGAGCGTGGTCGACCATAAGAATATTGCCAATTTTAATAATCAGCAGATACTTTTTTAAACTAGTGTTTGTAGTAATTAAATCATCCATTTTAATTTCAGAAACGGATGATACATGCAAATTTCATATCACTCAAATTGAATAATCAATTTAAATTAAACGTAACTTTGCGTAAAAAAAATTAATTACACACCTACCTATACATTGATGAGGGAATTTTATATCCTGGAATATATTCTATCTACTAAAAACACACGCACATATTAATGGACACTTATTTGTTATTTAATGAAACTCTAAACGCCACAAATCATTAAACAAAACAGGAACACATGCCCATTGCGAATACTTTGCTGATGGTCGAAAAAATACACGACGATTAATTCAATTAAAACCTCAAAACGCATGGCATTTAGAGAGACACGTACGCGGACCACGCGGTGAAACCACTGCCGTGTGCGCTTCGCTTAGCTAGGTACAAGGTTGGTACGTAGCGATAATACGCGTCAGTCGAACAAAACAAGTTGTTTATACACAAACGTATTGATAAACTCGTAGTTGAAAAAAACCAAACTAAAATTTTACAATGTTGAAATAACTGACAGACACGAAATCTACCTACTTTTACTTTCAATATTTCTCGGCATAAGAAAAGAATTTCTTGGCTTTGGGATGTCATAAGATTGAGAAAAACAGGAATTTAATTTTCCATTAGAAATAAATAATTTATTGTCTTCAAAGTTAACTGTGTAGCTTATGTGCTGCGTCATTTATTTTTTGAGTATGGTTGGTTACAAATATCTTTTAAATAAAGGCAAACGGATTGAAGATTATGAAAGTTATTGAAGTTATTGAGCCGCCATGATCACGTGCAAACGCGAAAAAAAATCAAATATTTCACGATTAAGGGTGATAAAATCACCGTTTAAGGCAAATTTTCGCTAGTTGCAGGTCAAATTTCTGAAACAAACAAATACCACCCGACGGAGAATTTAATTCTGCATCTCTAGACGCTGCGCTGAAGTTATTGAGCCGCCATGATCTCAAGCAAACGCAAAAAAATACAAATATTTCAAAATAAAAGGTGAAAAAACCACCTTTTAATGCAAATTTTCGCAAGTTACAGGTTAAATTTCTGCAGCAAACAAATACCACCCGACGGAGAATTTAATTCTGCATCTGTAAATGCCATGCTAAAGTTATTGAGCCGCCAAGATCGCAAGCAAACGCAAAAAATACAAATCTTTCACAATAAAGAATTAAATTTACGATACTAATATAATAAATAACGGTGTGCTTTGATTCCACGAAATGAAGATTCGATACCTGCAGGTAAACAAACTTATCTCTTGAGCGAAATCGCGTGATCCACACGAACTCGGTGTGCACTCACTACCACCAAAAAGCAACATTTAATGCAAAACCGGACATCGTAGCGCCATCTAACCTTTGAAAATATTTATCAATATATAGAATATAATTCAGAAGATACAGAATTAAATTCCGC